TACTTACTACTACACCTCTCTCTCTCTCTCTCTCTCTCTCTCTCTCTCTAAAATTGCTCTGGAACCTCCATAACAACAGATGCAGACAAAATGAAGTTTGTTAATTGGTTAAAGAACTCATGGTGAAGGCATGAATCTCTCCCCTATAAACCTCATACATGAATGAAAAGCTATAAACAATCAGGCATCAGAGCTCAAAGTACCCAATGCAAAGTGTATTTTGGTACTATGTAATGGTGTTACAAATAAACACCATTACAAATAAATGCCTAAGCCTGAACTACACAATGCTACGTGCAATTTGAGATTTTGTAATGATGCTTCAAAAGGATCATTGAAGTTGGGAATCATGGAAACTGAGTTGAAGACCATTCTTAAGATTAGTAGTGTGCTTTAAAATTTGTCAACAATGAGGATAACGAAGTTTCTGTAAAGACTTTGTACATTAGCCAGCAGATGCCAACAGCGGACAGCTGGGGTGTGTAGTCCCTCCGCTCAAAATACATCAAAAAAATTGACATATATTATTGGAGAAATGACAGCCCAGCCATCTCCACATCAGCAGGGGTGATGTTTCATAGAACTTCACTGGGGGTGTAGAATAGATTTGTTTTAAATAATATTCAAAGAGAATCAGGAAAACACGACAATGCATGACCGACATCTCAATATTACCTGAATAAACATCCTTTCAGCATCTCCAACTTTGCCATTCTCTTTCAGTATAATTCCCTGAAAGCCGTAAACATTAATTCATGTCCTGTTTTACCTCTCCCCGATCACAAAGCTGTAATTGCATTTCAAATGGATTGTCTGAAATCTAAAGGTCCACTACTAACAAAGAACAGAAAACTACTACAAAGAATTAGCACCAGTTAATATATTCTTCATCCTACAATATAAAAAGCTAGCCATCTTTACGCCTTTCACATAAGTAGAGCGTGCACTATGTCGTTTAGAGGATTTCCTTCATATAATTAATTATGATCACCACACTAATTGTGGGAAAAGAAGAGAAAGACAAAAATAATCATAACCATTGTTTCAAATACCAGAATTGAGTTTTTGATCAGCCCTCTCCCGTAAACCAATCTGGATTGGTGGTTCCGATCATGATCAGATGATTCACGAGAATTAAGATGGAAATGAAAGGGGGAAAACAGTTGCATGGATAAAGTTTAATCATCAAACATGCATAGATTTTAATCGTTTTATATTGTTTTCAATCAAACAAAAACATATTTAAGTCAGAATAAAAATTGAGCTCAAAATAATAAAAACCGCACAATTTCATTTTTTGATTTCCTCTAATATGAGCATTGATTTTATGCTAGGGAGGTCAACAATTGAGGTTATTTTCCTACTTAGACAAGTTATTGAGAAGTTTAGGACGAAAGGAAAAGACCACCACATGATCTTTATTGATATAAAGAAAGCATATGATAGAGTAACTCGAGATTAAATTTGGTACGCATTGAAAAAGAAATGAGTCTCCAAATACTATACCGATTTGGTGAGAGATTTGCACGAAAAAGTATAACTAGCGTGCGGACAACTAGTAGAGAGACGAGTGAGTTTTCGGTGTCAATAGGTCTACATCAGGGGTCAGCGTTGAGGCCATACCTCATTATCTTAGCTATGGACAACTTAACTAAGTACCTACAATACGAGGTATTGTGGTGTTTATTGTTCGTGGACGACATAGTTTTGATTAATGAGACCCGAAGTAGCGTCAACATAGTTTGAATTTTGGAGAGATGCTCTAGAATCATGCTAAAACCGAGTATATGGATTGAAAGTTTAGTAATAATAGGTGCGGAGACGAGGAAGTACTTAAAATTGACGGTCAAGAAATACCAAAAAGAGCGCACTTGCAATAATCCAGGAAAATTGAGAGATTGAGGAAGATGTGGCGTATAGAATTAGAGCTAGGTAGGCAAAGTGGAGATCTGCAACCTGTTGGAGTTATGGCCCTTCAAGGCCTTGTAACACTGACATGTTATAGCTCTTATAACAGAGGGAGCGTACAAACGTGATGTGACTTTAAGGTCTTGGCACACAAAGACCAAGAGTCACATAACCCCGAGAGAGTCCTGAGGACAGTGTGTATGTATATGAGAGGCACTGAGAGGGTTGAGGGTTACCTGTAGCCAGGTTCGGTTATTGTTATTGGGCCTCATGACTCTGTGATGGGTTAGGGTTATGTGCTTTTATGTGATTGATGATGAGAGGAGCTCGATTGTTGTCCCTTGTATGAGAAGGCTAAGGCTAACAGAGGGCATTAACCTAAATCCCTTACATAACCTTCTCATAACATGTACGTAAACAATCACAAAGCATGGGAAGCCACCCTTCCAAGGATCCACTGTGAAGGGATATGCACATGTGCCAAGAGAGGAACTCCCACATCTTATATGTGTGTGTCCCAATGTTTCAGAAAACACAAGGCGGCACCTAGGCGGCCGAGGGGTTCTAGGCCGCCCAGCGCCTAGGTGGGCACCAAGAACCTGAGCTGCCCAAAAGAAAGAAAAATGTCTTCGCTGTCTAACAATATAAATATAATTGTATAATACATAAGAGTTAGAGACTTAGGGCACATCAAATGTATAGTACACAAGTCCACATAGCATACACTCCTCCATAATCCTAAGTCCATATCCAATTATCCAATAGTTTGATAGTCCACACTCCACACATAGTTAAAACTTAATTTACCAACCAAAGTTACCAAACCAGTGAACCACAAATTCACAATACACAACCAAGAGGAGAAAAACAGAAATAAAAGAAATATAATATATATATTATACACTTGGCTACTTGAAGACTCAAAAGAATCTTCAATCAATGGGTGATCTTTAGATCAATTTCTCGTAACTTTGACAAACCCTTCGATCCTATGATAATCACCAAAAACTAGTTTTTTGGGGGTTTTTCTCTCTAAATAGGCCCTAATGGGGTTTAGGTTTCAAATGAACCTAAAACCCCTGATTTTGCCCCTATTATATTAAAAAAAGAAAGGAACAAAAAATGCCCTGAACGAGGGGCACTTCCATTGGGGCGTAAGCCCTAGGCAAGTTACTTGGCACCTATGCGAGTGCCCAGGGACAACCCGCCTAATTTGGTCGCCTAGACCTGGGCGATGCGCCCAAGCCTTTTTGACCGCCTAGGTGCTAGGTGGCCCGCTTTTTAAAACAATGGCATGTCCTCTATGAGGTGCACCTGAAATCCACTAAAACTTTAGAATTCAGGGTTACTCATTGGTTTAACTTTAATAAACTATATCATGAGCTCCTGATTTGTACCGTGGATCACGAGTTTGTTGGGTCATATTGAGAAGGTGGCTTTAGATTCTAGGTCTAGCTGGGTGGAGTGCTCTGATGCCTAATTCAATTCCATATGATCCTAATTTCTCTTGAAATTATTTTTATATGGTGCCAAAATGATTTATTATGATGGAAAATCATTAAAAGAATTTTTTGAAATTTTTGGATATTTTTTTGGATTTTTTTTTAACAAAAAAATGTGTTTTCCATAATTGTTTTTCAAAATGATGATTAAGGATAGCATCCTTGAGATGTGCACAGGACACCCAAATAGCTAATGGGTATCCACGTGGGCCATGGGGGGCCTCAATGTCAGCCTCACAAGAAGGTGACGTGGGGGTGATGTCATTCCCCCATGGTAGGCCTTTTGGTCATTATGTGATTTGTTTTAAAGAGGGCATTGAAATTAAGGGATTGTGAATTTTTTGAAAATTGGAAGAATGCATTTTGCGCACATGTTAAATGTGTGCGGAAAGTGTTATGTGCGTACATGTGTGAGCCCTTCTACAAGGGGCATATATGTGAGTCATTCTAAAAGGGGCATAGGGTTTGATATTTATATTGAAACCCTAAGGGCATATGTTGTAATTGCGTACTTAACTAACTTACACATATGGCACCATATGATTGGACCACACATGCTCCTTCAAAATGGAATGAAAGTTTTTAATTTGATTTTTTGCTGGAAATGTGCCTGATTACCTTAAGGGTATACCCTCCACTTTGGTTTCTAGTTTAATTATTTGAAAAGTGCATGGGCATTTTTATACAAGGGGAATTTGGAGTGAATTATGGATTATAAATGGAGGATAAGGGTGCTTAAATCCATACCACACATCAAGATGGCACGATGGTGGATGGTAGGCTAGTATCAAGCCTCACTTTGAACCCATAGATGATGTATTTCAATGGTCAAGATTAAAACACATCTAAAGTATCTCTACACCAAACTCTATAAATACCCCCCAATCTCTCAATTAACTCATTCTTTCTTGTCTAAAAAGCCACGCCCAATGTTCTCCCTTTCTCTCTCTTCCTTACTAAAGTTATTAGTAAGAGAAATACTTAAAAAGTGAGGTACACCTTTCATCCTTCCACCGATCTCTCTCTCTTCTTAATTCTTATACAATGGGGTACTCCCTTCATCTTACTTATTCTCTCTCCACCTCCTTGTTTTAGTGAAAAAAACTCTCTCATAGAAAGAAGCACACTTTTCCTTTGTTTCTTCTTCATGAGAGAAACATCCTAGTGAGAGAAAGAAAGAAAGATGTGAGGATCTAGCGAGAAACCTCCATTAAAGCTCCAGTTGACCTTGATCGACCTTGATCTCAAGCTTAGATGAAACCCTAGCCCCATGGATACTAGATTATTTGAAGAGACCATCATCAAACCCTTTCGTGAAGCCTTTTAATGGCTGTAAATCCACATTTACAGCAACTTATGATGATCTAATTTCCTCTTGATTCATGAGATTTCAAGTTTAAATTGTTCCTTGAGTTTGATGATTTGATTATTAATTGAGTGATCTAAGTTTAGAAAGATTGTTTATAGTGTTTTGTTGAAATTTTATTGGCCGAATGTCTGCAAATTTTGGATCCAAATCAGCCAATTAATTCACTCTCTTATTAAATATTTTGGTGAACTTTTAAGAGGAAAAGTATTCCCTAATCTCCATGCTCATGCTATTCTATTGTTCACCGAAATTGAGAGTGATTTGTGCCTACTTTTCTCTTATGTTTTTCCTCAATTTGGGATCCAATTTGTTAAGCTCTCTCATATGTTAGAATGAGCCATGAAAGTTTAGATGATATGATGCTTGAATACTTCCTAATTTGATGTTCCTATTGGCCTACGTTTTATACCATCGGAAGTCATCCCATGATACATAGCTAAGACCTAAGCTTGTAATCCAGGAAAAATGAGCACCATGTAAGGCTTCCTATGATCAAATTAATTATGCATATATAATATTTGTATTTGGTAGAGGGGGAGATTGTATTTGAATTATTTGGCAATTTTCTGTATATTGTTGTATTTTGAGATCAAGTGTAACCTCATGTGTTTAATCAATCTCCTTGATGTATATTGCGTCTTGTATTAAGACAATGGACCAATTAGAGTTGTAATGTTCCTTTCAAGTGTATTTGAAGCCAAGTTTGGTGGCTGGATTTGAATAAGTTGATGTAAGACTAATGTAATTCAAGCATTGTTGCATTGAATTAAAGAAAAAATTTATGTTATGTCACTTGGACTTCGTTTTATACACTAACACAACTAGAGTTGTATGTGATCGCCGCATACCAAACCAACTTTACTTTATAAGGCAAAATGTTGGGTGGTCAAGAAACAACATACTTATAAGATGAGTGCAATTGCGATGAGGATGTTAGAATGGATGAGTGGCAAGATAAAAAGGGATAAAATTCAAAATGAATACATTGGAGAACTTAGGTGTGGCTCCAAGAGGCGATAAGATGACAGAAAGTAGACTTATATGGGCTAGCTATGTGCAGTGTAGATCCAGTACAACACCTATTAGGAGCTACGAGTTGGTTCAAATGGAAAGCTCAAAAAAGGCACGGAAAAGCCTCAAATGGACAAAGTTGGCAGTAGTGAGAAAAAATATAAGGACTTATGGCCTCACTGAGAGTATGTCCTTGATAGAGTAGAATGGTGGACCGGGATTGTATAGCTGACCCCAAATAGTTGGGAAAAGACTCTGACGATGATGATGAGACCTTTAAAGTGTTAAAAATGATCAAATAACACTTGAAAAAAATAGATAAAAAATTCAGGAGATTCAAAGAATATAGCGGAAGTGTAAGAAAATGTAGGAAAAAAACCCAAATTCGATAATAGAGATTTTCATTTTTTATTCAAAATTTTTTGTTGGGCTATTGTAGATCAATGAGAGAGGAACAATTTGGGACAAATTTGACAAAATTTGGTGAAAAAAAATGAGAGAATAAGATATTTTTCATTTCAGTTACATTATAGAATCAGCGATTACCAGATTCTTGTCATAGAATCGCCTGATTCTTAGATTGAACAGAGTGAGTTTGTCCAAATTGGACCAAGTCCTGGTTATTTAAAGGAACCAGGAATTGGGACAGTTCCTTGCCAATTCTAATATGGATTGAAAGATTTCGATCTGGATGGGCATTCTTTTTTAACATTGATAAGAACCAATTAGAAGTATTCATGTCCAAATATAACGGATGATAGAGGAGAAATTACCTTAGCTAAGTATCCCCGGAAGTCATCCGGAAATATCGAGATAAGTCGGTCATAAACAGCAACAGCATCGCTAATATGGTCCCAATCAGAATATGCTTTTCCAAGAAGCAGCTCAACCTGCACATTCGATCTCTAATCGTGTTATATCAAACAGCAACGAGACTTGAGCAACCATTCCATTCAATCTAGTTTACATCACATGCCTACAAGGAACAATGTGATAGCAAATTCATATCAATGAGGCCATCATTTCAACCTATATTATTTTTCCAACAAGGTTCAGACCAAACTAAATTGTACCTAAACTGTGGAGTCCAGGCTATTGTACCTAAACTATGGAGTCCAGGATTTCTATAATGATCAGGTCAACAAGCAAGAATCCCTTGGAATGAATAACATAAATAATACAAAATGATGGCAGATTCATCCCAACTTTAGAAAAAAATATGATTGTCCCAGTCAGTTGCTATTAAATAGGAACTTTGAAAAATATTTAAATTGTATGTTTTTATCTTATTTTGATAATTTGTACTGGTGTCACAATGTCAGGGTTTTTGATGCCTGTATATGTGCCCAACATGGATGCCTGTATATGTGCCCATATAATGGGAACATTGTTTTAGGTGGGTAGACTAAATAATTTACTATTCATGGTTAACAACTTAATAGAGAGTTGTGAGCAACAACAAGTATGTGTGCATTATGATGCAAGACTGAAGAAATTATAGCCACAGTTATTTGTTTCAAAAGATCAGATTAGTCCAACAAAGTACTATTTCCACTAGTTCAGTTCCATTCACAAAGAGAGTTAAATGGTCACATGAGTCAAAATCAGTTTCAATAAGCACTGTCTTTGCATAATCTCATAATTCACCTGAATGGGCAGGTCCTGTTCATCAGCTGGAATGTCACGTTTATTTGGGATTAGTGTATCAATGTTTATTCTATCACGAGCAGCCAAAAGCAGTTGAACAGCCTGCAGAAAAGGCACTTGTCTGTAAACGTAATGGATTGGATACAGAGGGCATAATCTATTTGGTTTACATATAGAATATGCATATCCTCCAAAATATATTCACAATAAAAAGAAGAATAGAACTTCAGAGGCATGATAATGAATCAAATTGATGGAAAGCAAAAAGAATGAGAGACGAATATAACAAATATTCTGAACCTCAGTTGAACAAACATGCTTTAAGATCCCAATAAAATGAACTCACAAACCTCATCTGGTTTTTTAGCAGCAAGCAATGCATTTGTCAAACGACGTAAAATTTCAAGATCAGTCTTCTCGGTAATCTGCATTTGAAAAAGTAAAGCCACGTCAAAGACAACTAGGAATTCGAGTTATGTGGAAATAGTGCAATAATTCATGAATAACTGAGAAATTGGCCTCTCCTAATGCAGAAGTTAAGATCCAGTTCTGCCAGAGCTTCCCCATCCTCCAATTTCGCACCCACCCTCCCTCACATATACACGCATAAGCACACACAAAAGCACATCCCACACTTGCACACACGCATGCACACGCACAACATTACAATGGTGATTCTTACAAATATACAATTTCAGGACTCATCCTGCAGTAAGAACGGTGGAATAAACCTGCATCTATAGACTTTCTATACACTTATACAAAGGAGATGACAATACAAGAGAAGTTTCTTCACTATTCAATTCATTATTAAGAATTGAGAAACCAAAATACATTAACTATTCAATTCATTCAAAATAATCCATGCCATTCATAATAAAGTCCCCAAAACAATCTTACAGATGCAGCAAGCCGATATGCAGAGGCACTCCCTTCAAATTCCTTCAATTCAAATTTGACTTCTCCAAGTAATCGATAGGCATCTACATATGCTGGCCTTTCCTAGATATGTCAACAGATGACAAAGTTTCAAAAATCTAAATATAAAATGCCAACAACTAAAGTCTCCCACCAGATATCAGAAAAGGTAGACATGCCCAAACCTTTATGAGCTTCTCTAGTAAAGATGAAGCCCGCCCATACTCCCCTAACTCCGCAAGAGTAACGGCAGCTCCCTGCAGAAATACTAATGAGAAGGACAAATGTGCACAATTATCAATCTCTCAAGAATAGAAAATTAAGCAAAATTGTTTCTGTTTTCCAATGAATCCATTAACATATTGATATTGTAATCTTTGGGAAATAATTGCACATTTGATTCCATCCAGAATTTGAAGGCCGACAAACACAGGAAATTATAGATGGCTCCTCAAACACAATACTGGAGAAGAGGGTATCAACAACAAAAATTTTAAAGAAAGGTGGGGTTTGTATAAGGTGCTCACCTTATATTATACAAGTAAGGCGTACTTCTAAATTTTTCTGAAAAATGTAATTCCAGATTTAGAAAACTTACGATGGCCCTAATTATAAAATTTAGAATAATTTAAAAAATGGTGCAGATCATGCAAATATCTAAACACTTGAAAATCTTGAAAAATAGACAGTTCCGATAACTTGTTACAAGATGGAATATTTTTAGGACTTGAATTTTTTTTTTCTTTATATTCATACATCTTGAGGTCGAAATGATCAATTGGAAGGCTTTCCCACTTCAGAATACTCCTTTCTACTGGATTACCTTACTTCTACAATATAATGTTGCAACCTCTTATAAACTTTTTCCTATAAAAGAATTATTGAACGTGAAACATTTGAAACTAGTAGGCCAACTAAAATCCAGATGTTAGGTAGATAGCCATATAACTTTCCAAAGGAAAGTATTACCCATCCTAATCTTGATTAATCCCAAATTTCTAGGCTAGTAGATTAATTGCCAATTCCGATCAATGCAAAAAATGACATACATGCTTAATCCAAATTAAGCTATTGCACTAGTCAGGCTTTCATAGGCTCAGGAAAATTCTGATTGTTTTCAAAGATAAATTGCTGTGTACGTGAATTTCAGCAATATATTTATTTGATAGATAGACCCTCAGAAAATTGCCACTAGAAGTAGAAAACAGTGGACACAAAAAAAAACAACATTAAAGACAATGTTGGAAGTTGGAACATGGTGGAACAGGTAGGCAAATAAATAACAGTTCAAGTAGATTGAGTATCCAGTTATCCAAGATAATCATAACTCACTTCAAGTGCCTCGGCATCTTTTGGTAATGAAGCAAGCATAGCCTCAAATTTTTGAAGTCTGGCCTGAAAGCAATCAAAAAGTAAAATGAAACTTAAAACGTGTGCCAATAAGAAGAAAGACACATTTTTAATAATACCTGTATTAAATGACAGATAGATTTTGTTAGATATAGATCCCAAGAAAAGTAACACGAAGAGGGGAAAAAAGGGGTAAAACATAAAGTATCTATGCTACATAGTCATATCTAAAAATCAGTGAGGACTTGTAAAATTGCAACAGGATTCCATTGCAAAATGATATATAGCAATACAGACCGCAGCATTCCAGCTCAAATGAAAGGACCCTTATAGACATATGCCAAATGAAAATCCTTAAAGGGAATAAAATATCCTAAGATTACATGATATATATGTAAATGAAAAACTTATACATAATGTACAAGTCTACCTGAAGAGCGTCCTTTTCTTCCTTTGACAGGTTCTTTTCCTCCACTACAGTATCATTATTGGTGCTGAAACACAAAAAGAAAATGCTTGAACATAATATAATACATTTAACAAAAAATAGATGCCTACCCAGAATCAATGGCATTGTGAAATGTGACGGCAACTAAAATTTGACCATGCCAAGTGAAAGCTCAAGAAAAAGCCAAGAGATTACTGTATCTGAAAGCACAGTAGAACCATCAAATGGAAAGGTATAGCCTGAGTACACAGCTATTAAATCCTTAAGAAGCATTTTCATCGCATGATCGGATCCCACAGTTTCCGTACACTCAATCCTCAAACGATATCTTTTATTGGAATTAACAAGAGCACAAAACATAAAATTATTTCTTTTATTACGATAGGTTACAACCTTTTATGTTCTATAAAATCATGGCCTAATTGTAAAGGATTTGCCATCTTCTATCTAAAAATGACCTGAGCATATTCCTAATTATGGTGTGTAGTTCTCATTTTGAGCTCAATGAGAATAGAAACATCATCATCATCCAAGCCTTTTCCCAACTATTTGGGATTTGCTATACGAATCTTGGTCTGGCATTCTGCTCTATTAAGGGTCATATCCTTAGTGAGGCCATAGGTCCCCATATTTTTTCTCACTACTTCCAACCATGTCCTTTTGGGCCTACCACTTGCCCTTTTTGAGCCTTTCACTTCAACTAACTCACACCTCCTAACAGATATTATATTGGGTCTGCATTGCACATGGCCAACCCACCTAATAAGTCTACTTTCTATCATCTTATCGCCAATTGGAGTGTTGGGTTTTGCGGCCTTTAAAGGCCTAGAGAGCTTGTAAATGTGATATTTTATAATGGAATATGCATTACAGTGGGAGTGTGGGTTGACTGACTAAGGGTTGGGCGGTTTATGGCCCTAGTCACGTCCAAAACCCTGAGCATGGGGCACTACTGAAAAGCACCCAAGAATGTGAATTCTGGGTATTAGAGACTTCGTCCTTCAACTTGAGAATGGCAAAAGCATGATCCTAAAGCAACTCTTTATGCTCCCGAGATGAGGAGTTTGGTTTCGGTCACTATATTGGCTAAGGTAGGCTACTCCACCATTTACACTGTTAATAAGGTGGAGTTGAAATATGGAGATGAATTAGTCATGAATGGTCATCTTGTAGAAGGTTTCTTTTCAGTTGTAATAAAGAATTACATTTCTTATGTCTCATGTCATAATGATAACAATGATAATGCGTACAAATGGCACATGAGACTAGAGCACATAAATCCTAAAAGGATGAAGAGATTAAAGAAAGAGGGATTACTAAGTAATCTAAATGGAGACTTAACCAGAGTCTTATGAATCATGTGTTCAAGGACAGCTGGTTAAGAAATCATTTGCGAAAGCTCCGAAAGCTGCTGATATATTAGAGGTTATCCATAGTGCTATTTGTGGACCTGTGAATGTGGCCACTAAGGGCCGCAAGAGGTACTTTATCACCTTTATAGATGATCACTCCCATTTTGGCTATGTTTATCGGTTAAGTGAAAAGTCTGAAGCCCCGGATCGGTTCAATGAGTATAAAACCGAGGTAGAAACCCCAACAAACCAGAAAATTAAAGTCCTTAGATCTGATAGGGGTGGAGAATGTTCCTCACGACTATTTAAAATATTATGTATTGAGCATGGTATTACACATCAATATACTATGTCGTACACTCCTCAACAAAATGAGGTAGCTAAGAGACGGAATAGGACCCTGATGGAAATGGTGAGGAGTATGATGGGACATGCTAAACTCTTCCCAAATTTTTGGGGAGAAACTATTTTGACAGAAAACTATATCCCTAAGCGAACTCCCACAAAAGTTGTCCCACTAACTCATGAGATTTTCACTGCTCGTGTTGTCCCTTGATCACCTCAGAGTATGGAGATGCTCTGGCCTTGTCCTAATACCCCATCAAAATAGGACAAAATTAGATCCTAAAACTGTTAAGTCCATCTTCACAAGATACCCATCACATGGTAAGGGATACTGTTTTTATAATTCTAACACAGGGGTTGTCCTTGAGAGTTGGGATGCTCATTTCCTCGAGGAAGAGTTTCTTGAGGGCCATGCCACTCTGAAACAAGCCAAGTTTCATGAGATAGAAAATGACACAAGCCAGGCCATGGATCCTGAACCACCTCGTCCTAGGATAAGTAACCAAATTAGGAGAAAACCTGAATTCTTCACCTAATCTAGGAGAATATTATGAGAGAATTGAAGAAGAATCCCAACATGAACCTTATTCCCACCAAGAAGCCATAACCTATCATGAAAAGGCACAATGGGAAGAAGCAATGAATGATGAACTTAACTCGATCAAACAAAACAATGTTTGAGAACTAGTGAAACTACCTCTTGATAGAAAACCTATAGGCTACAAGTGAATTTATAAGAAGAAATAAACTCAGAAGGGAAGTTGGAGAAATACAAAGTCAAATTAGATTCATAAGAAGAAATAAACTCAGAAGGGGAGTTGGAGAAATACAAAGTCAAATTAGTTGCTAAAGGTTTTACCAAGAAAGAAGGAATAGATTATTATGAGACCTTCTGTGACGACCCTAAATTTTTTGAAACTGAAAAATATAATCAATAGTGTTGATAAAAATAAATACAAAATAAATAAATAAAATAAAATAAAATTCATTGTGTCAAAATGGACCATGGGTCCATTAATTTACGCATCCTTTCATTTAGGTTAGCAGTGTTAGCTTTTCTGACAGTAATATCATTTTGGTTGCCTTGAGAACCATTTCAATAGTAGACCACTTTTATAATGTGGCCCAAGAGGACCACTCGTTCCTCTTTTTGACGTTGCCCTATGATGTGTACGCTAAGCGTTTTGTTTTGCCAATCTTAATTCATGTGTCATGGACACATACAGTTTTAGGTGTTATAATTTTATTAGCCCTCTCTCATGCCTTACCGTCCAGCCCTCCCATTACCCTCTCCACGTCTCTCTTAAAGTAACAAATTCATAGCTCAAGAAGAGGAATGGCTACAGCAGCTGCTGGTTTCTCCTTGAATCAACAAATCCCCCATCAATGCATTATGGAAGAGGCAGCAGATTTCACAAACAAATCGCCACCTCACTGCAACCTTCACGAATCCATCCTTGCCACAGACATAATGTGTGCAGGTGAGAGATAAAGATAAAGTTCATCTGAAGGCAGCCACTTTCGCTCTCTAGGAATCAAGAAGAAACAGATCCATGAGCAGGCAAGCCTGAACCACAGGAGAGATGAGGAAGGAACTCGCAACCCCACGCTCTTTAACACCATTAACAGCCAACGAAACTCTCTCTCTAAGAATGTCCTTGATGATTTTATACAAGGCACGTTCACAGACACAAAATGCACTTTGTACTCTCCACCCACTCTCTGCAATTTCTCTCTCTTCTGACAACCAAATGAATTCACACTTAGTAGTGTGTTGAGCTCAATCTTTCTCTATCTTAGATGCTCCAACTATCCACCACGTTTAGACTTACTCTACTCTCTTCCAAGCCTGCACCGATCTCAAGCTCCCACTCTTCGGCACCGCTCTCCACAAAAGATGGCTACTTCTCTCTCTAAACGACCTTATCGTCTCCAATCACCTCATCAATCTGTATGCGCGATGTGACCTTTTAAGCACTATGCGCAAAATGTTCGACACAATGCCTAAAAGCAACATAGTCTCTTAGATCTCTCTTTTCTCAGGCTTTGACCGTGTATTTATGCATCACGATAGGTGGATGATCATCCCATGGGCATATCGGCATCATGAAAGTAAGTGACCTCATTGTCTTGAAAAATAATCTTTTTAGTAAAATTGTGATATTTTATCTATTGTTAGGAATTTTAAATGCTGTAAATTATTTGAAATAAATTTATTTTTCCTGTCTATTGTTAAGAATTTTAGATACTGTAAATTATTAGAAATAAAGGTGATATTTCCGCTTTTAGTAAAATTGTGATATTTCCTTCTACTGTTTTGAATATTTAGACATTGTAAAATTCATGTGCAATTGACAGCATGATTACTTGAAAAACTGATATTTCTGCATTTGATTGTAGTATTGCCTATGAAATGATTATTTGCAAATTGGCAATTCCATAAATTGTAATAATTCCGTATTTAATTTTGGATTTCCATAAGAGTTCTTCTATTGATATTAGACTGTTTATCATGTTACATTTCAAGAATGTCCTTCAGAACTGTTACCTTTCAAAAATTATTGCCAAAATGTTTGACGGGTTACTTACAGATATTTCAATGAAAGTGATTGTTTAAATTCCTTCAAGTGAATTCCTGTTAATGATTTCAATGATACTTTGCATATATGATGTTGCTGCTTTCTAATGTTAAAAGAGTTTTAGAGATAATTTGTGTATAAGTGGACTCATCCGGAACACCAGTGAGGTATAATCGGACCTGCAGGGATTGTTAGGACCTATCCAGTTATGCCAGTAGGGACTATTTGGATTCATCTGGGACGCATATGAGGTATAATCAGACCTACAGAAATTGTTAGGACCTATCCGGTTATGCCGATAGGGACAATTTGGACTCATTCGGGACGTCGGTGAAGTATGATCGGACCTGCAGGGATTGTTAGTACCTATCTGGCTATGCCGGTAGGGACTATTTGGACTCATTCGAGACGCCGGTGAGGTATGATCGAACCTGCAGGGATTGTTAGGACCTATTCGGTTACGTCGGTAGGGACTATTTGGACTCATCTGATACGTTGATGAGGTATGTTTGGACCTGCAGGGATTGTTTGGACACATCCAAGACGCTGGTGGGGTATATAGGTGACCTACTTGGGACGCCAGTAGGGTATTTTGTGAAATCGTTTGAGTTATGTGTTTCTGTTAAAATGTTTGTATGCAGTTCAATCATTTGGATAATGTTTAATTGTGCATTTCTGAAAGTGAAATTGTTCTCCATAAATGCTTTTGCTCGCATTGTTTTTAATAGACCTCCCTTTTGAAATTGTTTATATCTTCCAACCATGATTATTTTTTAAGGCCATGATGATCACGTACTGAGTAGCCAAACTCATCAAAATATGGTAAATATTTTTTTCAAGGTAATTGCAATCTCATTGTTCGAATGCAACAAGATCATCTTTGAAGACTTTGTGGGCATGATTGACCTTCCCCTTGTAACTTATGATCAAATGCACCATTGTAATTTTTGTTCTATGCATATATAGTATAAGAATAGTCTATCACACCTCAGGAATGTTAGTGAATTCGGGGTGTGACACCTTCTCCCCTGTAGCAAAATTCCCTTCTGTTAAAATTCTAATAATAGCTATAGCAGCCCATTCGACTTCAAACTCCAACAGATGGATGTTAAGACTGCATTTATGAATGGGGAGTTACAAGAAGAAAATTATATGAAACAACCAGAGGGCTTCATAGCAATGGGAAAGGAACACCTAGTGTGTAAACTCAATAAGTCCCTTTATGGCCTTAAACAAGCATCAAGTCAACGGTACATTAAGTTTCAGGAGACCCTATCATCTGCTGCTTTTGTGCCAAACCAGGAGGACTACTATATATATGCCAAGGTCAATGGGAGTGACATGGTTTTCATCTCTCTATATGCAGATGACATGTTAATTGCCAGTAATTCGATGAGTCTCTTATTGGAGACAAAAGCTTTCTTATCACAACATTTTAATATGAAGGATCTTAGTAAAGCATCATATGTTTTGGAAATCAAAATTACTCGAAACATAAAAGAGAGAACTATTCAATTATATCAACATACATATTGTAAGATAATTCTTGAAAGATTTGAAATGGAAAATTGCCAGCCCATATTAGCCCCCATTGATAAGAAAACCAAGCTTAGCCTAGTCAAGCCTAGTCATGTGTCTCACTACTCCAGAAGAAAAGGAAGCCATGCATAAAATTCCATTCAAAAGTGCAATTGGGTCACTAATATATGTTACTTCAGGGACAAACTTGGATTTGTCTTTTGCCATGAGTTTGATTAGCAGATTCCAGAGTAATCCAGGCATGAAGCATTGGAAGGTCATCAAAAAAGTACTGTGATATTTGAAGGGAATCATAAATTACGCACTCATTTATAGAGGAGGCTCGGATATATAGATATACAGATATTTAGATGCAGACTATCAAGGCGATCCAGATGAGAGTAAAACCACATCCGAATATATTTTCACGCTTGTAGGTGGAGTTGTTTCTTGATGCTCAAAGAAATAGGATATTATTACACTCTCGACAATGGAGTCAGAGTATGTGGCATGTTGTTTCACGACTAAAGAAGCAACCAGGTTGAAGGAGTTCCTGAATCAATTCATATTTGATCCAGTTAAGTTCCCTTGCATCTGAATCTTCTGCGACAACCAGGCAGCTATTTGTGTATCAAAAGAGTCAAGGTTTCATAAGAAATAGAGTCATATAAAGCCATGCTACTACAACATTTGCAACAAGATCCGAGCAGGAGAAATTCTAATTGCACATCTCTCGACAGAAGCTATGTTAGCAGTTCCTTTGACAAAAAGAATGGTGGCAAGTGTTTTTACCAAACATGCACATAAGATGGGCCTGAGAGAAATTGAGAGGGAGTGGTTGGTTCAAAGGCCAAGTGGGAGATGCCGGGTTTTGTGGCGTCTACAAGCCTCAAGAGCTTGTAAATGTGCTATTTTATAGTGGAATATGCACTTTATTGAGAGTGTGTATTGATTGACCACGGGTTGGGCGGTTTATGGCTCTGGTCATTTCCAAAACCCTTACACCTGGACCTACGGAAAAAGATTTGCATTGGGTCATCCCTTGTTGAGATTGGAGAGATGCCTATGGATGATGTTTGTAGACCAAGATAACTGTATGGTCTCTTGTGTGTGGTTGTAGGCCAATGAGAGCAAGGACCAAAGCTTCAAAAAACTTTCGAACATGACAGCCGCATTACTGGGAAGCAGCTCTTTAAAGGGACACGTGTACATATGCATAGAGAGAACCACTTTTGCATTGTGGTGACAAGTACTAGACTTTCTCTTAAAGGGAGAAACTAAAATCCCCATTCCAAGATCATGGTCCCACAGTTTATTATCTAACTTTAACAAGTCAATCATGAGCCCCTACTTTAAAACTGTAGGTCATAAGTCTTTGTTGGGTTGGATAAGAAAACAACACTGGATCATGGTTTCTAAGGCGAGTGGAGTGCCCTTGTTGTTGCTAATTCTGACCCATTGAAACCAATCTACTCCTAGTATATTGTATTTTGGTATTTAGAAATGTTTATATGATTTCTAAATATTTTTTCAAAATTTTAAAATATTATTTCTGCTGTAATTTTTCATTAAAAGGGTATTTATGAAATAGTTTTCAGAACTTGCTATATAGCACATGTAGGGACCAAGGATCTAGCCCCCACATGTGTGTGCCACCCATGTGGGGCCCACATGAGCTCCAAGGGTGGCACGCCAATTTCTAAGCATAAAGGGGGCACGCCACTTTTTTCAGGAAGAAAGGGGGCACACCCCACTTTTTAAAAAAACGATTTGTTCAAAAAAATTTTAATGGCACACCACCTTTTTAGCATTAAAGGTGGCACGCACTTTTTTGAGGTATAAATAGCCCTTACGCCACTTCTCAAGCAATAGGGGGGCACGCCACTTTTTATGGAAAAAAGTGGGCACGCCACCGTTATAGGAAAAGGGGGGCACACCCCACTTCAATTAAATATTTGATATGGTTCAAATTGTAAAAAAAGTTAAGATAGGAAATCTAGTGCAAATTAGATTTGGTTTCCTATCCTTATGGGATATCTATGATATAAATTGATTATATTTCAATTTTAACTAGGAGTTGGACTTGGGTCAAAGTCGAAGGGGGCCAAGATTCCTATCTTTCCACTCAAAATCATGATTGATTTTTGGGATGGGTGGCACTGATAAAATTTCTCGTACCTCACAGATTTTCTAATCATTTTAAAAGGTCTAGCTAGAAATTAGATTAGACATGCTAAGGAGATTTTATTCCAATTAGGATATGGATTTTCTTCTATTTAAATATCTAGTTTGAACATCTTTCAAACACCCAACTAAATCCCCTCTCTCTCTCTCTCACACACACCCCAAGTCTTCTCTTTCTTTCATGTCATTCTCTCTCTTCTCTTTCCTTCACACCACTCTCTGTCTCTCCTCTTATTTTGTAGCATGCCACCCAAAGAAAAGAAAAGGGGGGTGGGACAATATGAAACCCTAGAAGAGAAGCTTTGTTGTATTTTGAAGAAAGAAAAGAGAAGCCCAGCCTAGAGAAATCAACTCACAAATTCTCCCCTAGTTTTTTCTTATAGGGTTTGTAACCCTAGTTTATTTTTAAGATCTCTAAAACCCTAGATAAAGGAGTATTGTTTATAAAGCTTCCCCATCTCATAATTTCCAGCAACATCATTAGGAGTAAAAGTGCATCATTGGTCAGGGAGTCGGATGTAAGGTGTACTAAGTCCTAGTAGGATAACTTCAACATCTTCTAGTAAGTCATCCCAGTAGTTTTAATTAATTTTCAGTATTATTTCTCATTTTCTGTGAATTTTCAGGAACTTATTTTGTGCTAAAAATTATGGTGGAAGTTAGCTTAAAGTTCTCAGATAATTTATATTTCTCTAGGCAGTGAAAATAAAGATCCTAGGTTGCATTTAGGGCATTATTTTAACTTCACAACAACATATTGTGGCTCATGTAAGTGAAATTCAGGTATTTGAAATAAAAGTAAAAAGAAATTTTTAAAATTTGATACCTTGAATTCCTCATAGCCACACCATTCATGGAGCCACACCTAAGTTATCCCGAATGCATTCATTTCAAATTTTATCCCTTCTTGTCTTGCCACTTATCTATCTCAACATCCTTATCTGAAATAAACTCCATCCTATGGGTACACATTCTACCCCATAAAGCAAATATGGTCTAACAGTTGTCCTGTAGAACTTGCCCTTCTGCTTCATTGGTATATAGTGATCACATAAAACTCTGGTTTCACATCTTTACTTTGCCCACCCAGCTCTAATTTTGTGCAACATCTTCCTCAATCTCTCCATTTCCTTGGATTATTGACCCAAGATATCAAAAATATGCTCTTTTAGTGTTTCTGAGCGCACTTTTCATTAACAAATGTTGATTATAAATAAATAGCATTTTCAAAGGCTGTGCAGTCTATCATTTTGGGTAACCCAAAATTTCCAGAGATCCCAATCATCAAATACTGAGTATTTGAAGAAACATGTTCATGCAATTTCAAGTACATTATTGGATGTTTTGTTACTATATCACAAATGTTTATAAATAGTAGCTGCAAAACAAAATTTTGGGATTAGATCCTTCAGTTTTGAGAATGAAGGATTTAATTCCAAAACATGCTCAATTTTAGAATATTGTTGGCATTTAACCCAAATAAATTTTATTTTGACTCATTCCATAAAGTTTGAGAATCTTCATAACATAAGATCAATAATAGCATGGCCTTTGTCCATCCATATGCTATGGAGTTCTGAAATAATCATACTCATACCTGTTGGTATAAACACAAAAATAACTACATTTCCTTGATTAGATGCTAAATAAAGAACAGATAGGCTGTACCCTTACCTTACAGAAGGAAAAAAGTCGCCCAACGCAAAAACCAGCCCAAAAGCCAAAACAGCAACTCCAACTCCCACCTTTTCAAATTCCAAATATTCATGTGAGTGTGTTATCCTTTTAAGAATGCAAGTATCAATATATCAACACAAACAAATATGTAGATCATCATGTTGGTTGGCATCATACCTTCGTACCGAGCCCAATTGTTGTTTTCTCTGACTCAACTGGGCCATCATAGTCTATTGCTCGATACTGTTTTTCTTCCTCCTCCTTCACTTTCTCAAGTGCAGACCTTAGAAAAGTTTGTAGTCATGCAATCTTGAGATGACACACTATAGACTAGTAATGAATAAATGACATATGAGAAGCATTGATCTTTCCGATAAAAGCTGCAGTAAAGACAAGTGCAATTGGAAATTGAACGAATACAGCATCAACAAGAAAAAATTGACAAAGATAAACATAACCAGTAAATATTTGTCAATGCATGACCATATAGTGTGATCTTCATGCATTAATAGCTATTCATGAAAAGATAGAAGCTGTCCTCAATAGTAGCAAAAAAGGAGAAAAAGTATCTAATCACTCAAAATCTCTCAAAAGTTTATTGTTGCCCAATAGGTAGAGGAATAGGGTTGACAGACGTTTGTCCAACAAATATAGCAATAACAATATGTACATGGTGTTACACTATATCATTGATGAAGTTCAATTACTTCCATGCTTCTTGCAATGTAAAGAAGGAACTTCTATCCTTTGTGCAATGGAAAGAAAGGGCCAGTGCAATAAAACAAGATTTTGAATCATCAGACATTTGCAAATCAATATAAAGGCCTTGCTGGCAATCCATATTTTTTAATTACATATTAGTCTAATAGGTGTTCTTGTGTTTGTTCAATTGTTTACTTGAATTTCAAAATTTTTATAGAGTTGATATTTTCTAATGTTTAGTTGATAAAATTAAACTTCATTGACCTTTCCTAGTAGGGATACACTTGATTTGCACCTAGCTTGCACTCGATGTGTGTGTGGTGTCTGTTTGGAACCATTGAATCCCAATTAATTACTAAGGCATAAGTGCAATGGTTGAGAGGATGAAATGGACGAAATTCTATATTCAATGAAATCATGGGCAACATACAAAATCCACAAACAAAGTTCATATGAATGAAGGTTATAGGCCAAAAATAACAAAAGGAGAAGTGTCAAAGGTATAAGGCAAAAGAACAAAAAGAGACATGAATCCATATTACCAACACAGGACAAAAAAAAAATTAGAAAATCTTTTTTTTTTTTGGGGAACAGGAAGAGTGAGAGAGAGAGAGAGAGATTCAAATTGAATACAAAGAAGAATAATAGATACATAATTCAAAAATCAAAAGGGAATCTGATGAGCCTAGCTTCATTGGCTCGAATTCGCTCAAACAATCAAAACTATGTTCTTAAATAATATACAACTCCAAGGAAAACCTCTAATACAACCCTTTTTTAAAGACTTTATTTAGTCGCCCTAATCCTAATTCTAATTCTAATGTAATTATAACTCCCAATTAGAATTGAGGCAAAATTTGATACTTTTGCGCTTTGAAATATGGAAAGACAAAAATCATCTTAGAAAAAACCCTAAAGAGATACCCTGACTTCGCATAGGCATAACTTTTTGCTTCGATGTCAAAATCATTATTATGACCCCATTTCAGAAACAAAAGTGTAAGCCTTGTGACACTATAATCTGCTTTGCTGGTTTCACCCCACAAACATGGCTGAAAATGTCTCTAAAGGCCGGAACCTCGTCCTTGAAATTTGTTGCATGTAGCTGGCCTACATTAGTCTCCCCTGGTTAGAGAGAACCCGCACCATCGAGTTCATAAACTTCTTTAATGCCTCTATAATCCATGAATTTTCTGACTCAAGCACGCCTTTCCATTGAACCAAGTACTGACTATACGAACTTCAATGCCAAGTATTGGTCAGAATACCAAGAACCTTCGGAGAGAATCTCTCACCCCTCTGGAAGCTCAGTATTATATGAATTGTAACCAATCTTTTGAAGCACATGGCAAGGGCCAATTTTTTTGTACTCGAGCACATGAAAGCACCACCACAAAAGCACTCTCACCTAAGATACAACTTTCGTTGAGCTTTTCGCGTACCTGCCAATGAACCTCATGAACATACTCAGATAATGTTTTGTGTCATCGGTAGATCTCTTTCCTAGGAAGAGGTACCAAATCCAGCACCTTGTTCGGCTGTTGTCCATGCAAAATCTCAAAAGCAACTTTCCTGTGGATCAATTTATGGTGTTATTAAGTTCAGCTCGTGGTGAAATCTAATCCTACTATGACGGCTTGTCTCCTGCGAGGCTCCTCAATAGATTTCCCAAGATTTTGTGAAAGCTTAATGGCCACCCTCTTGAAGGGCCACACTCATAAATGGGCTTACATCCTAGGAGTAGACGACTCAACTCAGAGCTAGCCTAAGTCAGCTTGGGTAGGCGCCCAAGCAAGTCTGGAAACAAAACCTCAAGACTCAGCCCATGTCTCCCTCCTAACCCTAAATTCCTCATTTAAATCACCTGTTCAACTGGGGACTCCCACAAGTCGGACCAAGGCTCTGGACCTTAACAGGTAGCAGCCCAAGATCGTGTTTTTAAACATTACTTGAAGAAATATTGGCTCTATTATGTGGGTTGCTTAATTGCAACTAGTGTGGGCCAATTATTGCAATAGAAGAAGAAACATTGTTGGATGTTTGAGGATGTTGTGTTAAATATGAATCCATATCACTTAGTAATATTTTAACTTATAACTTCTATACTTTCGTACTGAGCTTTGTTTGTAGATTTTGCTTGTTGTCCATTAATGTGATTGACTTTTTGCTTTCTTTTACGAAAAGAAGCATGCATGCGCACACACACATGCTCCTCTATTGGACTTTTGTGTTTTCTTATTTTGAGCAGTGAATATGGATTGGCTTCTCCTTTTGTTCTTTTTGCCCTATGCCTTTGACGATTCTCATTTTATGTTTCTAGCTTATAGCCTTTTGCTTTCATACTGAGCTTTGTTTATGTTGCCCCTTGGAATGAGTGAATATTACTTTCTTGTATGATAGAACCCCCTCCCTCTCTCGCTCTCTACCATCGGAATTGTGCTTTTGTAGTTTATTGGTATTTACCTCTACTTTTGATGTAAGGCTTCAATCTCCAATCGACACACACACATACACATGCACACACACAAACACACAGAGTACAAGCTAGGTACAAATAAAATGTGTTCTTATTAACAAAAGATCAATGAATTCTGATTTTGCCAGCCAAGTACTCAAAAATATCAATTAAACATTTAAGTAGTTTGCTATTATTCTTGATTTACTAAGTGAAATGGGGTAGTTTACATGCACAAGATGGATTAGAAAATATGAATGATTGTGCTTAAAAGAGTTCAGATATTTCTGTCGAAACACTTCTGTAAACCTATAATAAGAATTAATTAGGAGTTCCACACTAAGAAATTTCTTTATCGCCAGAATTAACTCCTGCGAATCATAGTTAAGGTTTTTAAGAGTCGTTTGGGTACCTGAAAATATAGTGTTTGTGAGGTACATTACTGGCATGACATATTATTGGTGAAATACATTATCTGAAAATGAGTTTTTGCTGTTTGGGTAGCATCTGCATACAACCTGAGAAATATATTGCTACTGTTTGGCTATGTCATGGAGAAATCTGGAAATGCATTATACTCATTTTGGCTTGGAAAAATTGCATAAATTTTACTTATAGTAATGCGATGTTTTTGTGTACAGATCATAATATTTTACTTTTTTTTAGGATAAAATGTCATTTGAAACTATAGGTAAAATACTTACGTCATGATATAAATATTTTTACTTAAAAAATCTTAATCTATGTCATGATAGAAGTATTTTGTTTAAAAATCTCTCATACCCTCTCTCTTTGCAATGTGTTTCTCTCTTCAGAAACTTTGAGGAGAAAAGAGGGGTTTTTCATGGCTTTGAGCTCTGTAACCTCTTCAATTGAAAATCTTTGGAGAAAGAAGTCTTTAATGGCTGCTTGTGAAACTTCTCACATCTTATAGGTTTTAACTAATGAAGGAAACTGCATAGAAAATAGATCATCTGCTCTGGGTTTAATCTTGTCAGACCTCAATTCTTCTGGTTCTCACCATAGATCAAAAAATGCAGAGAAAATGGTGGGACTTCCATGGCCTGAGCTTCTGCAATGTCCAATTTCCAGGTTTTTGTCATTACCCATAAGAAGTTACAGCCAAGTTTGGGTATTTTTTTCTCTGGTTTAGGCTTCTGCAATTCAATGGAGCTTCGGTTTCTTGCATTAACCCGCCATTGATGGAGCTATGAGAAACTCCCCCTAGTAAATTCTCTTTGATAACGAGCCAATGCCTTCGCAAACCATCGAATCTCTTGCCTTTCTCCTAACTTTGATAGCCACTAATGGCTCTGCTCTCATTAAACCATCGGTTGCCTTTTTCCTCACTTTAATTGCCATTAATGGACCTGCTCTTATTAAACTTCCCGCCACCACCTGATCCCTAGCCTTCAAATCCTTCATCTCCCCCAGATGCACGCTTTGCTTTTACGTGATTCTCACGACCGATTTGAGCAATGGACAGGAACGGACGGAAAGACGGATAGTCGTTGAATGAGTCAATTCTTCGAGAGATCAATGCGACAAGCCAAGGGCTTAGAGTAGACTCTCTCTCCTACTACTTTTTAGGGAAGTAGGGCACCACGGGGAGTTGGGCTATGTTAAGAGCCTATAGGATAAAGGTAATACCCATTCCGTCTAGCTCTTGTGCTAAGGCAAGCAAGAGAGGAACTACATAAGGAAGAAGAGAAAGCAACTACAATAACGTAATCCTGTGGGAGAGAGAGAAAGAGGGCTTAGAGAGGGGGGGAGGGCTTAACACTTGGGGCTCAAGGAGAAAGGACTTTTGATACTGTTGTACCTAGAGAGAGCGCTACTTTTAACGACGGTGAGAGAGAGAGAGAGAGGAGGTGAGTTACAAAGAGAGATGGCTTGAAGAGAGAGAGAAGGCGAAGGGCTTACCAAGGAAGAGAGAGAAACGGTTGGGAAGGGAACTGCATACAAGAGAGAGAGAGAGGGATTTTTAAATGGACGTCAAAGCAAATAGGTCGATTTAATATTTTATGGCAGGACTACGGCTTAAATTACCGTCAAGCCCGTTAATAGATGTCCCAGCCCTCCAAGCGCGAAATGGGTTTCACGATTTTGGGGGAAATCTTGAGTACTATGTTTTCATTTCCTGCCATCTATATGTGTACCCAAACACTAAAAATAGCAAATTTTCACGTAATAGAGATACATGTACCCAAACAGCCCCTTAGTGTTTTATTGTGGATTTCTAGCATTTCTCGTTCTCACAACCTTGGTTGCATTTATACCCGACATCAATTGCGTAGAAATCACGGTGGAAAGGAGATACCATGCTCAAGGAGCTCGTAAAGGAATCTCCCATATGAAAGAAAAGACTTAAGAAGCTTAAGAGAAGGTTAGAATTGTTTGAAGAAACATGGGATGCACCAAAAAGATTATCATCATGAGGATCGAATGATGGATATGATTCAGTCCTAGGGAGTAGAAAGGCTCGAAGATTGGGCTGATTCGAGTCCTAGAGTGCGGTCAAGACCATGGGATAAGGGAAGAGTTCCATAGATACCTTAAACATCAAACTTTTTATTTTTAATTGTAAGAGCAGTGTAAAACAGCATTTTCTGATGGACCTCGTAAAGATAAAAAAGTGAATTTTCTGGCTATTAGGTTTAAGGATCATGCATCAATTTGGTGGTCATGGACAACTACTAAGAGTGAGAAAAGGAAAATGATAAATAAACACCTATTAGAAGAAAACAAAGAATCACATGTGCAGGAATTCCCTACCACATGACCCTGCCCAAGATCTTTGAAAATTTTAAAACTTGTACCAAGAAGGGACGACCATTAGCACATAGAAGTCTACAAGCTTTCAATGCAAATTCGTACCTCATTACTGTATTAGTCCCAACTACAACTACTTCATCCAACCATAATTGTTGAAAGATGAGGGGGAAGCTGCCGAGGATAGGTGGAATCACAATTCATAGGTCTACCAGTCAGTCAGTCTATATTGGATGAAGGGGAAGTTGCCAAGGGCAGGTGGAATTGCAATTCAAAGTTCTATTAGTCCCAAAGTAAGAGGTAGGTTTAGCAGAGGACCTATTCTATAGAATAATACTTCAGAAAATCATGTAAGTGAAAAATAAGAGCAGCAGAAGATTATCAATGAAAATAGAAATCCTGTTAGTATTGGTAAAGGATGTTTCAAACAAACATTGAAATTTTTCATTTTGTTGGGGCAATTTTCAAAATTAAGGAAACGTATAGCTCATATGAAAGTTTTAGTCCCACACACAATTGTTGGAGACGAAAGGGGATTCTGGAGGGGAATGCCGAACCCGTAGAGGGTGGATGCTCCCTAAGGTTAGGATCGGTGACCATACATTCAACATGTTAAGGAGCTAGATCCTAAGATATCCCATGTCACTGGGATCAAGGTTTTGACTTGGAGGGATCTATGCTCCACTATACATAAAATGAGTTCAATTAGTAGTATATGATAAAATTAGGACCGAGCTAATGCTTGCTCAATCCCTTATCATATCCCTTAGCTTATTACCAATGTCGTAGTTATAGTACTCCAATTTACTACAATAACACAGTTTAATAATATCATAAATTGGCTTACTATGATATTAATGTATAGTTAGAAAAACCATAATTCTAGTATATCACCATGTGATATGCATCATAGTTTAACATATTTTAAAGAAATAAATATATAATACCAAGGAGATTCTCCTTGGAGGGATCCTGCAAATACATAGACCAAGATCCCATTTTATAAGGAGCGAGATCCCTATTTCTTTAAACTCAACTCCCTCTAAGATCCCTCAGAGGAACCATGGGATCGAGTTGCTAAGGTGGAACCGTGGCCTTAACCCCAAGGTTCACGCAACTATGGTCCCACATTGCCTAGAGACAAGTTTCTCTATGGCTTTATAAGTGGAAAATTTCCCTAAGGGTTTGAAATAGAAAGAGACTACAAAAGCTACAAGATGAGGTACTGTGGTACATGTTGTTAGCAGATGACATAGTTTTGATCGATGAGACCCAAAACGGCATCAACACAAAGTTAGAACTTTTGCGGGCTGCTCTAGAATTCAAGAGTTTTAAAATTAGCCAGTCTAAGACAAAGTATATGCAATGCAAGTTTAGTAATAATAGAAGTAGAGACAAGGAAGTAGCTAAGATTGACAGTCATGAAGTACAAAAAAAGACTGCACTTTCGATATCTTGAGTTCACAATCCAAGAAAATAGAGAGATTGAGGAAGATGTCGCACACAGAATTAGAGCCGGGTGGACGAAGTGGAAATGTGCAACTGAAATTTTATGTGATCGCCGCATACTAATGAATCTGAAGGGCAAGTTTTATAGGACAGCTATGAGACCAGATTTGCTCTATGGTGTAGAATATTGGGTAGGCAAAAAACAATATACCCACAAAATGAGTGTAGCAGAGATGAGGATTTTGAGATGGATCAGTGGCAAGTAGTGATTTAAAAAACGGATCGGTGCCCCGGATCGGGCACTTCAAAACCATCCGAATCTGTGAATCGACGATCCGGATCGGGAATCAGCCGACACTATCGGATTAAGCTCTAAAAAAATCAAAAAAAATTATTAAAATTAATTATAAATGTTGTCTTTTAGGAATCTAAAAAATGAGGGTACTCCATTGTTAACTTTCACTTTTTTCATCAATTTGTGAATATTGATATGTTTTTTATCTGTATAAACTTATGTTAACCATTAAATTTACATCACACCTAAGAAAAATCATACAATTATCAGGGATAAAATATATAATCATACATGGACTACTATAAAGAGTAGATTTAATCGACAAAAAATGACCATCAAAATCTCAAATTGGTGGAAAGCCCTAATCCCCTAAAAATACCCAAATTATTACAAACTAACTAACTATAATCCAAATTTATTACAACCTAACTAACTATAATGTTATATGCTGAAATTAAAATTGTTTGTTTAAGTTTTATAATTATTTTATTATACAAATAATAACAAATCTAAAATATTTTGCAATACGGTCTAATTTAAAATGTATTATTGAGAACTGTAAGAAAGATAATAAAATATATGATTTATAATGAAAAAATTAATAAACAAAATAAAAATTTGGTTAGAAATTATTAGAATGCATTTTTCAAAATTTAAATTTTTTAGATTTCTAGAATAAATTTAGTAGAAGAGATTTTTAATAGAAAGATAGAGATTTCAAATGGAATAAATTTCTTTAAAAAAAAATAATGTTTTAGATTTATACAATAAATTTAGTAAAAAAAATTGTTAATAGAAAGAGAGAGATTTCAAAGAAAATAATTTTTTTTAAAAAAAAAAAAATTACTTTCTGCTTATTTTTATTGTCAACAAAAATAAAATAAAATAAAATGGGTCCAACGCGGAATCGAACTTGAGACGTGAAGGCTCTACCAACAAAGTGATAACCACTCCGCCACATCAGCGCGAGTGCAATTGTTATCTACATTAATAGTACTTATCCAAAATTCATCGTAATTTAACGCACCGTGGGAATTATACCACATCCAACAGCAAGCTTTACTTTCGCTTCTATAAATTGCTTTGTAAGTTCATAAACGTTTGTGCGCTGTGCCCGAGGTTGCCATCCACACGCGGCCGGTGGGTGATGTTAATCGTCCATGTGTGAACTTAAGGAATATCGGTATTTTGCCACGTGTTGACTCACTGTGACTCGTTATGTGATGTCATACAGGCGACTTTCACCCGTGTATGATGTCATACAAGCGGTTCACTGTGCAGAACTAGCTGGTTCGTTCTAGAACCGGCCGGTTCCCGGTTTTACACTGGAATCGGCATGGGGTAACCGATTCCCATGCCGACTCGGGCGAGTCCATTGCAACTCGCCAATTTTTAAATCACTGGTGACAAAACAAGAAGGGATAAAATTCAAAATGAATACATTCGGGAGAATTTAGATATGGCACTAATAGGAGATAAGATGAGAGAGAGTAAACTTAAGCGGGTTGGCCATGTGTGGCGCCAACCGAGTACAACATCTGTTAGGAGGTACGAGTTAGGTCAAGTGGAAGGGCTGAAAAGGGCAAGGAGAGGGCCCAAAAGGATGTGGTTGGAAGTAGTATGAAAAGATATGAGGGCTTAGCCTCACTGAGGGTATGGCCTTTAATAGAGCAGAATGGCAAACTAGGATTTGTGTAGCCTAACCTAATTAATTGGGAAAAGGGTATAATGATGATGATTGTATACTTTTCCATCATGATAGAAGCATCAAGTTGTAGGAGCAATGTGAACAACAATGAAATAAATGGAAAATGACAAAGCTCAAAACCTAAAGAAGTTTAACACAGAAGTAAATTTATTTAAGAAATCATATCACTTTCTTCAGTTTTCAACCATATGTACGTAGTAAAAATCTATGCGATGTGTGTATCCAATATTGCAAGCATATAGATGACCAAAAACATCTGTACCTTCGAACTGCTTCCAACTTCTCTTCAAAATCGCGGCCTACCACAACCTTGCTAGGATTTCCATCCAAGCCACTAACTATTTTAGGTGCCTCTGCATATTCTAATGATCAGTAGTTGTCAATCTAGATCATTTTACGACAAATTACAGATAGCAATTGAAAATTAAAATTAAAATTTAACAAATCAACTTTATCAAGAATCACATGAAATAGATCAGACATAAACACTAAGCACAAAACGTACTAAAATTGCATGAAGCTGCAACAAAAATATTTTTAATATCACCTTTTACAATGACGGAGAAATTGGGAATTTACAATGAAGGATTAATTGGGACTCTCAGAAACCATTGCAACACATGCATAAAATCACACAGAGTAATCAAGACAGCCCACTTTAAACTGCATATGATTCTAGAGTAGGAAGCACTACTCCATTGATGAGATTTTATTATTCTCCCTTAGCAAGAAGAAATATGAACAAGACTTCCAGGATGACCCAGGCAAGGGTCTAGTCGACCAATCAGGAGAAGAGTTGATCTGATCTGATTGCCACCCCTACCCCTCTCTGCATTACATGTCATAAGCCTACAAAACCAGGCATGCTAAAGGCATAAAACCCAACCAAAATATTTTTTATATAGATCAAATTATGATAAAACACTAAATTACTAAGGTTTTCAAGAGGAAATGGTACTTTGGAAACAATCTAAGCCAATGTTCTGAGAGTTGGCCTAGGCCACTCGGACTTGGCCGAGTAACTCGGCCTCGGCCTATGGGCAAGGCAAGTTTTGGGCGAGTAGGTTGTATAACATGTCTTTAAAGTTTCATTATATTAATACCTCAAATTTAAGTCAGATGTGCTCAAAAGGCTTCCCGGCTAGTCCTAACACATAAATTTGAACGCAGTCGGGATTCGAAATCCCACTAAAGTACACAACTTTTTTAATGTTTGTGACTTTTTTTATATGATAGGAACACCACTTTTAAAGATGTCATTTTTTTGGAGTTCCAAAAAGAATATAGCCCCCGCAAGAATGGAACTCAAGACCACTTGTAAAGAGGTACGCTTACACAAGGGGGACTAACTAGCACGTCAGTCTACTACTTCATTGATAAAAGTGGCGCTCATATTATATATAACTATTTTTTCTCTTCATTTTCTTTAAAAAACAGAAAAAACAAATGAGTTGGCCTCGAGCGAGTTCCTCGGACATGCCTGAGTAACTCGCCTTGGCCAAGCCCGAGTACCTTGGCCAAGTCGATTTTCTGAACACTGATCTAAGCCTATTAGAGCCAATAAACAATATCTAGTTAGCAAATTGAGTTGAAAAAAAATATTAGCAACATTAAGTTAATACGTCTATAGCAACATCATTTTATGCATCAAAGAATCATTTGCTAAATTTTTTTTTAGGAGGAAAAACTACTTTCCAAACATTCCAAGCAACCTAAAAGCATAAAAAACATAAAACTAAAAATTTAAAAAAGAAAAAGAAAACAAACCCAACAATATAAAGACATAAAAATCATCTCTATATATATGTAAAGAGTAATGATACTATGAGACCCTCCCACACCCATGAGAGTAGGACCCCAAAGCATCACCATTAAATTTTGACACAAATCTCCAGAAAACCCATTCACCCAAGTCCCACACCCATGTCATAACTTTTCTAAAGATCTGTGCCAAAATTTAATGGTGATCCTTTGGGGTCCTACTCACATGGGTGTGGAAGGGTCTCATAGTGTCATTACTCATGTAAAAAGTAAAAATGAGGAAAATTTGAAATCTTAATTATTGTTTTTGAGATAATACAATAAAACTACTACATTAATTAAAATATTATTAGCTCTACAGATATTAATGAAAAAATAAGATATATGAATTTAAAATGGACAAAATGAAACCCAATTTCGCTTACCCAAAATTTCAAACTTCAAAGTCGATCCTCCAATCTTTGCACTCAGTGCAAATGCATGCCTCCAGTCTTTGCCAAGGGGTCCTCAAATGCCCCAAATTGGAACTCCTAAACTAGATCTCAGAAATTCCAGTTCAGAACTAGTTGATCCAAGCTCTTAAAATAATAGACCAAATAGTGTTCTGATGTTCAAAATCTCGTGTTTATGAGATTTTGAGTGGTTATTTATGGGAAATAAGTCCTGTGATTTGATAAAAAACTGAAAAATCATAGGCTTAGGTAACACTTTTCAATTAAGATCAAGCTAAGGTTGCGAAGAAATCATAGCCAAACCCTAGTTTGAAAATCATAATCTTACAAATCTGAGAAATTTGATGTTTTTTTAGCTCAAATCTAAACTAATTCAATAGATGGAACAAGCAAAATTAAACCTAGAACCTAAATTTCAGACCAAATATCTGGTTGGTTGAGATAAAAATGGGAAAAAGGAGGTTTGATTCCCCCCCATCCGAAAATGGCCGGACTCGGCGAGTCTTGACAAACTTGGGAGCTTGTTAGAAACTTGCTTAGTTTTTGACCAATCACCCCAGTAACTATGGTAACCCTAGCAGTTATGTTAATAGTAAACCCCTGAGCAAGTAGAGGGGCTTCTAGGGACAGCAGGCTGCCAAAGCCCAAGGAACTCAGTCGAGTCCAAGTTGGATTTGCTGGGTCTTCAAATCCTGGTGAGAACAATTGTTTATTTTGCCGTTGGAGGGAGAGTAAGGAAGACAGATTTCTAAAGTCAAGAATCGATGTCGAGCATTAAAATCAAGTTACTTCACCAACTACATATGCGAGTCAGAGAAGAAGCAGTAAGACACAAGATACAATATTCTAGTTTTTTCATTTGTTTATGAGTGGGTTCGCCACAAAATCTTACGGATGTAAATATGAAACATCAAAACAATGTGGTTCATGAACAAGAAGGAAATGAAAGAAAATTATTGGGTCTATGTTAGGGCCATGTTAGAAAATAGAGATTAGACGATATCGGAATCATGTTGAACATGTTCAAAGGCCCGAATCACATGGGGCTTGTGGCCATAGGACACGAGACCTAACTGCCTTAGGGGCAACAATGTGGGCATCACAGATCCATCAGCACTGAAGGCCATAAGAGTGACGATTTTACCATTTCTTCTCTTCACAAATGTCTAATGGCCAACAACTGATGGGTACACTACAATCATGGGGGTGACTTGCTCCTATGAGATTCTGCATTTGGAAGATGTGACCCATTACTATGAAAATTGAAGTCTTGCTTTCAGCTTACTTTCCTATGCAATCAATTTTGGTGTTAATTGCAACTCAAACAACATTTGGTTAAAAGACCTGAACCTATGGCATTAGAGAGGAAAACCTTCAATCATATGGACTAGACAACCATACATCTAAGTTTTGAGGGTTACTGCTTAAATCCCAGTAAAACTTTGCGAAGAAAACTCTAGTTCACATAAAATACTATAGTTGATGAGATTGGAAACAAAACATCCCTAAAGCCATGCAACCTTTGGACGAAGAATGTAAATATTAGATAACCCACAATAGGGTGAATAGAATCAGCTATCGATTAGAATCAACATAATAACAGTCAAAGAGCAAATAAACAAAAGAAAATGGCAAAACATTACCATGATTCATCTTATATCTCAAAACTATCAACTATTATAACATTCCCGAAGTTGAGGGGCTCAAAACAAGTATTGTGACAAGTAAATATGGATGCATACAAGAACTCAATTGAAGCATATTTACATAAACAAAACCATGACATATTAGAAAGAGCAACAAAACATTGATGATTGTGATGATCATGATAATGAGAAGAGGAACTTGACCATTAGTTGCAACAAGGCTTTTAGTTGCAAAAAGCCTTTTAATGCAACAAGCCTTTTAATGCAACAAGCCTTTTAATGCAGTCACTGAATGTTATCTAGATTAAATTAAACTTGAAAATATAACAAAACAATCAATCTAGACAAGCAAAGAAACAAGGGATCTGCAAAACTATCAGGCTCGCATCATCCATTCTTATCATTGGGAAAAAAATAATTACATAGTTAATGGTACAGGGTTATTTGAATTGAGGATAAAACATAAAACATGACACTATAAAGTAACAATGTCTCAACAAGGGGAAGCAAACAACAATGGGAACTTACGACTAAACATGTCAGACTGCACTGATGACGACTTTCTGGAACAAATGATGAAGTCCATTATTAAGCAAGGAAGAGTTGATAAGAAACAATATAGATACAATAATAACCAACCAATAAACATAGCAAAGTACAAAAAATGCAGCAAATGGAAATCTATGCAAAATAACATAAACGAACCAAACAACAAGTTAAATAACAAATAGGGCAGCAAAAGATGTGCTTGGGTTAATGTTGACAATATGACAAAATCCTTAATTTACCATTTACTTTTCCTTTTCATAATGCATTAGTTCAGAATCCATATGGGCTCAGTGTAATCATTAGTCATTAGAGTTTAGAGTTTAGAGTATCAGTGCAATTGCAGGGGTCCATAATTCTTTTTTTCCATAACAAATAATATGATGCGTTGCCGCGAGACAAGTCATCTTGCGGTACTTGAACAAATCGGCACACCACCAAAATAATGTGATGGATACCATGCCAAGTAGTATAGAAACAGAGAAATACTTCATCAAAGAATCTGTAAATTGTCGAACCAGGAATGACAATCGATTTTTTTTTGTAGATAAGTTGTCGGAAAAGACTGAATTTTCTATTGTGATACACCTAGATATGTAGATATGAAAGTGGTCCAATGATAGCAATGGAGCCAGCAACTCTCAAGGTTGGCTCCATGGTATCATGTGTCTGCCAGTTCCTTCAGTCTCCAGAGGCCAACCACTGTACTTCCTCTGTGCCCTTCGTGAATATCTCATGGCGCTCTAGAAATCTGATATTCAACAATCTTAATAAAGAAGGGCCCAATCCAAGAACAAGGAACTAAACCAGATATTCGACTATTTGATGTACGGCAAGAAGAATTAATGCAAATACCATGAAGTGGGATTTGTTGTAACTGATAAGTGGTAGCATGCACGAGACACTCTTTTATGATCACAGTGGAAGAACTTCACAAATATCCTGGATCTTACATTTTGGTTATATCATATGGGATACAGCAACCAAGTTGTCATGATGCCCCTGGGTTTATTTATCATAAAACAATAATTTGAGGGTTAAGGTGTTCAAGTCACCGCCAGGCATGGCATGTACTAAAAACATGAGGTGATGGGTGAAAGTATTAGAGGTAGGATTTCAAAGAGTAAGGAGGTAGGGATGCTACATTTGCTGTAGTACATAAGGTATTTTATGGTCTATAAGTGATTCGCTACTGAAAACACATATTTGGAGGGGCAGCGATATTTTAAGAAGAATGTGCAGCTTCAAGACCCAGAAAGTAAGATATCCATGCACTTCAACCAAGGTAACTTCTGTGTGGGAAGGGATAAATGAGTCTAATCATCAGTAATCACTATATCATCTAAATAACCATAAGCATGACAGTCGAGAATCTATTAAAAAATGAGGTGTTTGTAACACATTGAGAGAACGCCATGGCGGCACAAGAGCTATACAATGGTCAAAGTGAGCTCTCTGTGCCCGTTTGAGAGTTTATTTTGTAAACAATTCATGAATGTGTCAGTTGGATTAGCCAGAGGCAAGTTCAAAAAAAAATCCTACTAGAATGATCTCCATCAGAAACAACAACGAATCTGTACCAACAAAATCCATATATTGAACTTAGAGACAAGCTTAAGAGCCTCCCCATAGATAATCCTTGATGTATGCCCCTAGAAATCAAGCAAGATTTATATTGTTATCTGCCACCTACCATAACTCAAAGGATAGGAAAGGAACGATTAAAAGAAATTATAACCTGTAATTTGTGAGGTTCTAACTCAGAGATAATTGGCTTTGTAGTATGTATAAATTTCATATGACAAACTACATTACCACCATACATCCTCTTATAGTCAAACAATATGTCATTTGTGGCTAATTCACGAGGAAATATAGAGTCATAGAAATCAGATATATTTCTCTACCTTTGTTGTGGTGTACGGCCACTATCTTCTCCTGAGATATTATAGCGATTGGCCTGTGGATATGGAAAGAAGCAAAACAGATTTAAATGCAACAAACACTTCGAATACATATTTGTCACAAACATGTCAGCACAAATATATAGTTGACCGATAAACAAACAAACAAACACGCATGCACGTATGCACGCACACACACACACACACACACACACACAACCCAGATACAATATAATGTAATACATTACAGAGCCTTCAATCTTTAACATAGTAAGAGAAGGAAACAAAGAACGATTCTTACAATTCATTATAAACACCCTTGATAAAATTAAAGCAAAATAATATACTTTTTACTTGCCACATTATGGATCATAAATGATGTTTATTTCTATATTGGAAATGACTAATAAATGCCAAATTAAGTTCATACACAATGGAAAATTGAAAACATCATCCCACAAGAAAGAGAAGGAGCTCTAATCAGAAATACTTGATGCAACTTGTATGAGATTCTTTGCTCAAGGCTTCAATGACTAATTGTCAACAGCCCAAGTCTCACCAACCAACATCCCAAGCCTCACCAACCTCCATGACTAGATTCTCTATTTTTTCCTAGGGGAGCTTTCAAGAATCTTATGTAGAAAAGGGAAAATATCAACTCAGCATATTATGTTTCTAACTCATACACAATAATCATTCACTCAATTCAATGAAGTTCTACCTCTAGGCATGGTTTTGTCACTTAAAAATACAAACTCCACATTCTGAATGAAGGTCCCTGGCATATATTTTAGAATCATGGATTAATGAACTCCAAATCAGCTTAATAAAATGGATCAAGGGGGACACAAGGAATGCAGAATTGTCACAAATGTTGAAGAAGATGATGATTTGGAAATGCAAAAATATAATAAGCATATTTTCAAGGAGTTCTAAGAGGAGGTAAGAGCATTATGATATTGAATACCTTCTCTTTTTTGGAAGGTTCAGGCCCAAAACCACGTCTTCCCCCAGAACTAGAACAAGAGATACCAAAATTTCCTCCCCAGTGATCATCAGTACAGAACTTATGTAAGCCACGTTCTCTAAATTGTGATAATCTGTCTCTTTTGGGTAGCGTCTTGATCTGAAAACAAATATTATTAATTAGAAACATAATCACACAAAACATGAGAGAAAATAAAAATTTCCATCAAATGAAACTGCAGATTGTGACTAACATTGGAAGACATGAATTGCAAGATATAAAAGAAACAGTCCAATGCATGTTTTGCAAACACTTTAAGTACAATTGACAAGCATTAGCCTAGTTAAAAGATTTTTACATTTGAGAGCATGGTGATGCATGTTATTAGTTAGGTTTAGTTTAAAAAATTGTCCAACAAACACCACAGAAAAGATAATTATAACAACACCGAAGAAAAGTTGTACAACGCTGCAGAAAATACAACTTATAACCAAATAGATAAATTCCAATGAAGCAACTAGTAAACAGTTATCCATGCCTGATTGCACTCCACAAGCCAGATTCTCTCCCAACGTGAGACTCTCTCAAGGGGGATCAACCCCAAACAATTCCTTTTCAAAACTTGCAACCTCAATACCTCTGATGCTCCCTCCATCCTCCAATTACAAACACAGCTTCAAAGTAACATACGTTCATCTATAGGAAAAGACTCACAAAGGGACAATTTCATTACCAACCATAAAAACCAAGAGGGGTTGTGTTACATATCAATATCTTGACCAGTTAACACTTCTAAATGTTAACCTTTAACATTTTTCAAACCAAATGGTGTGAACTTCATGCTAAGGTATTCAAAGTCGGTGTTCACCTCCAAAAATAACACTCGTGATTATTCATACGATCAATTTTCAGAGGACACTAGCGTGAAGCAGGAAATGCCCAAACATCCAGTCAGATATTTTAATGCGACACTAGCCATACTCCCAATGTCAAGAATTGAAATTGTATAGCTGAATGCTAACACATGATGCTATCAATCTATACACTGAGATGATTTTTGGTAAATCTGATGAAATTGGTTCATGGTAAATCTGAATGAAATTGCATATCTAAATGAAAACTCAGGGCAGCTACTCAGTTCTCCTCGCCTGTATATTGTTCAGGATTAAGAGATGAGATGAGAAAGGCTGATATAACTTAAAGTCTTAAACCATAGACTAATCTACCCAGAAAAAAAAAACATAGGAGTTCTTTTATATGGCTCCCGATTTGTTGGCCTTTCATCTATAAGCATCTACTAAAGAGCATTTCATCAAACAGAAGTTCATCACAATTCGAATAAGTTATCATTTCGCAAAACTGATCATTTAATCACTTCCAAAGTTCTGGATGGTCGCAATCTGCTCGGACAGTTTCAGTAACTCTGTTATTCCAAATCCAAAATTAAACAAAACCCTAGTCACTTAAAGGCTGCATATTCATTTTGAAACAAGACTGATTTTGCTAAATTTGGGACTATTTTTGGTGAGTCAAGACTACCAAGTTCTTCAGAACTTGTTTTTTTTGGGGTGGGCGGCGGAAGAGAGAAACAGAGGACATACCGTCCTGGGGAGAAGGCATTCCATGGCGGAATTTGAACACCCTCCTGCGCTCCTTGCTGCTGATTTGGATAACTTTTCGGTCTCCTTTTATTTGGCTTCTCTGAAGTAACTCGGAAACCGGCCGGTTCACCGGGCCTAATCGGGCATGTCGAAGGCGGGATAAAAAGACTCCCAATTTTAAAAAATATCAAAAAAATCCTATAACGTATAAAACATATATTTACAGTACAATTAAACAAATGAAGTTGAAAAGCAGTAAAAATAAATAAATTTTAAAAAATCAATTGTGCCCAAGGGTATTTTAAAAATAATTAAAAGAAGAAGAAAAAATGTAAAATTAGGTATTCATTGCCAAAATACATTCCATCAGTTGCTAAAATGATACAAAATATTCAAAAATACATTACAAATAAATTTTTTATTTTTTGGGATTATATATTAAAATAACTGGCTTGACGACCTAAATTGGCCAAACCTGGCTCGACCAGTGGCCAATTCTGGTTTGCTCGACAGGATCTGAGTTAGACCAGCCGATTTCTCAAACAAGTTCCAAGGATGGCAATCGGGGTCAAATACAAGTTGACACAACCATGGTCTAGGTTTGAACCCCGTCATTAAACGTATGGCTAATCTTGACTAGTTTAACATGAGTTTAGATCTATCTTAGACCAAATCAAGTCAGGTTGGGTCCATACTGAATATCCAGTATGGACCTAACTTGGCTCGATTTGGTCTAAGATAGACTCGGACTCGAACCAAACCCAAGTCAAGATAGATATAGTGATTTCATGCAACCATTCTATAATATATAATGAAATAATATTCAAAAATCATGTTAAGGCCATTTGTTTGATTTCAAATTTTAAATGTGCATTACTTTTACTCTAATGAACAACCACAACAAAAGTAAATTGTGAAAACCCACCTGCCTATTTTAATGAGATGCTTAGATCTAGACCTTATAAGAATCTTTTTCATTTTCAAAGTTTTTAGATACGTTTATTACCATTAAACTAGCAATGTTAAAAAACAAAGATAAATTGATTTTGAATTTATAAAAGCCTAGATCTTGAAATTCACCAAATTGATGGTCAAAATTCATTGTTGGATGATACTCATTTTGACCATATCTAAAGTGAAAATTGAGTTTTGTTTTTTTTTGGAATTTATTATTTGAATGAAAATAATTGCCATTATCATCAAGTTTTTTTCTAACTATTTGGGGTCGGGCACCCGAATCTTGGTCCGCCATTTTGCTTTATCAAGAGTCATACCCTCAGTGAGGCCATAAGTCTCTATATATTTATTCACTACTTCCAATTATGTGCTTTTGGGCTTACCCCTTACCCTTTTTAGCCTTCTATTGAACCAACTCATACCTCCAGATAGGTATTGTATTGGGTCTATATTGCACATGGTCAACCCACCTATGTATACTTTTTCTTATCTTATCATCATTTGAACCCACTCTTAAGTTCTTCCGAATGTGTGTGTAAAGTTGAGTTGATACAAATGCTACAAACATGGTTTTCTAGAGTGGTAATTTCATTATATCACAATGACAAGGTGACATGAGATCATTTCCCATATATACCTAACCCAACTTAATTGCTTGGGTATGGGTCTAATAAAATGGATCTAACCTAAGTTTGGATTCAATTAGGACCATGTCTCTTTTGGTCCAGGTTGGGGTGACCCAAACCCAACCCCTTGCCATTTACAGCCCTACTCTTCCTTTTTGCACCGTGAAGTCGTGCTTACAAAGTTTGTGCTATGGGAGCACAGGACACATGAATATGTGATCCAAATAATCACATTGAAAATTATGATTAATAAGCTCGATTCCATGTGTAGCGAAAGCATGTTACTAAATTATATGATAGTCCCCATTTTTTTTGGAATAATTGTTTCATGTGGACTAGACCGCATTTCTATAGTATGTCATCCGGCGGTATAAATCATCCATCTTAAAGATGGATTCAAATAGGTTGTCCATCTAAAAACAATTGTAACTAACGGTTCAAATGTTTTCTTAATATAATTATTATTTCTAGTTTTCAAATTTTATTTATTTTTCATATTCATGATCTCCATGTTCAAAATTATATATTTTCTAAAAGAGTAATGATCATATGAGACCCATCCATGTGTAGGACCCTAAAGGATCGCCATTAAATTTAGCACAGATCTCTATAAAAGTTATCACACGGGTGTGGAACTTGACTTTTCTAGAGATCTGTGCCAAATTTAATGGTGATCCTTTGGGGTCCTACATACATGCGTATGGGAGGGTCTCACAAGATCATTTCCCCTTCTAAAAAATTGGATCAAATTACATGTAAAAAATATTTATTGCCAAGTCTGTATTTCTATAATATGCGGGCTGGACGCATGCTAATCGCATCCTTTTTTCTAACAATGTGTAAAGCCACTGATGGAACTTGGCCCAAATGTTGAGACCGAGCCTTGAAGTCTATGCCTAGTTAGCTAGACAATGAACTACGTATGGGTCATTAGCCAAAGCCCTTTTGCTTGACAAGTCCCTTTACCCAAACCAGTTAACCATAAAGTACCAAAACTCAAGGGTGAAAAATAAAAGAAGAACCATACGATGAAAAATAAAAGACCATAAGAAATGATGATTTTACAATCATCTCAGTTTGAAAAAGACAGTAAAGAATCTAGAAGTTAGAACCTTCCTGTGAAGTAGAAGATCTGCCTCACTAAACATGTGAATTTTGGAACAAGTACTGTGTTTGATAATCTAACTAGCCTATTGTCTTCTGATTTCAATTAAATAGATAGTAATCCAAGAAAACTGGTTCACTAAAACAAACTCTCCAAATAGCAAGTTCAAAAACACAAACTCCCCAAATAAGAGATGAGGAAGGGTGAATTTCTAGTTGGAAAAACATGTCAAAATGATAATAGTTTCTATTTTATAGACATGACGAGAGAGGCACAAATGGATGATGGATAAATACAATATTCTCATTTCGATGGTGATTACTCTTTCTTTTCTTTTTTGTTTTCTTCTTTTTTTTTCTTTTTTTTTTCGGGCAAAGGAGCATAGGGAGAGGAGCAAATAAAAGCAAAATCACAATAGATATTTTCCTTTAAGTAAAAGGGCGATCACGATGGTTTGAGCAATGTTGCCAACCATGCATATGAATAAAATTACCAAAGTACCCCAAATTTCAACTTTCTAAGTATCCTTCCCTGACACTTTTGATACCACTTATAAACCCCAATAATGTTTTCTTTTGCTATTACCCCCAAGTTGAAAGAGTGTTTTTTTTAGACCAAAATACTCTCGTTCAACCCATGTTCAGTCACTTGCTTCTTCTTTCTTTCTTTTTTTTCAGTGCCGGATCAAAAAATGAGTCTAGTCTGGCACAAAAAATGTGTCGAACTAATCTAGGATATTGATTTTATAGTGCTAGTCTTGCACAAAACACTATCGAACCTGCCAGACCGGCTTCTGAAGTTAGTCCTGTAGTTTTGGTGTTGGACCAGTACTATAAAAACATAGGTATAAATGTGTTTATACTTGAGAATGCGGGCAATGAACTCAATCACTGTCTTGGTTTCAAGTGTAAACTCGTCGAATGAAGTTGATAGAGAAAGGGGTCCCGTCAAGTTGCGTTCCGGGCAAGAATCAGGTCACAAGACTTTATCCCACTTAGACCGCCGACAAAGCCGGCTTCCTGTACACCTTAGCCTTGGAGTTCAAGAGAGGTCTTGAAGTATTTAGTAAAGAGAGGGGGCAGCTTAATGAAAAACTTTAAAAAGCTAATAAATGCACAAAATAAAATTAAATAAAGCTCATAAATGCCATTAATGAAATCAAAATAAGAAAGAAAATGATCTTTTAGGTTGGGGCCCTAGGCTTGGTGCCTGTCCAGACTTCAGAGTTGATAATAGCACGACTAGTCCCGGTCCTTCGAGTTTTTACTAGTCAAAGCAATGGGTGGAAGAGGGCCCTAAAAGTCGAATTATCCGAACCACCATCGATTTTGATTGAATTGGGTGAGATTTCTAATATTCAAGTTTGGTTTTAGGGTTTAGATGAGCTCGGTTCTAGTCTAGCACGGCTTACGCACATTTTATAAAATTCTTGGTCCTTGGCTCGAAGAGGAGCCTTCTATTTATAGATAAAACAGTTCGCTGTTGGGCATTTTTTATTCAATCTAGGCCCTTCAAATTATGGCGTTGATGTCAATGCCTTTGGCATCACTGACAATGTCTCCCAATCAACATTCATTAGCATTAATTACTGTGCGTGCCATTAAATGCTCCAAGATCATGTGATTCTAGCCCGGGCACAGCTTTGTGTGCAAGGTGTCGGAGGTTCAACGACATTGACATTGTCGTTGGTGCCATTCAAAGTGTCTTTCTAACAAAAGTTACCTTATGTCATCTTCTAGGCATTCTTCCGTACAACTAACTGACCAATCAAAATTTGTCGTTATTTTGACTGTCTTTGGCGCCATTCCCAGTGTTGTTGGTGTCAGTCGATCATTTGGATGTCATCATATGAATGATGGCTAATTTGACATTTCATTCAATGAATTAGAGAATGGCACTCCCTTTTGTGCTGACATCTGACATGTTAGTCCTTGCTGACACGTGATACTGGTCTGTACATCCACCATATATTCGCCTTTGATTCTCATAGAGGTGATGCTGGTCTTAGTGGCACTAGCGCCACTTGCAATGGTGTCAGGCCTTTTCTCCTTTATTGTGTCACCGTTTCTGTATAGAGTGTCGGGGCATTTTTTAGTGTCATTACTGGGAGTGGTGCTGACACTATTGGCAGTGGATTCATAACTTTTTGCTTTTGGACTGCTTCCAGCTTGGATATTCTGAGTTCTTATATGTCTTGCTCATTCGTCAAGTTAGGTCAGGAAGGTGTGTGAATGGTTCAAGTTCCGAGGGTAGCTTGCCTAGGGTATTTTGCCATATCCTCGATTGGGTTTGGGGTGTCTACAAAATGAAAGAGAGGGGGAAGATAGGGGTATTTTAGTCATAAATCTTTTAACATTTTTTGAA